CCATATAATTTCACTCATGTGGAATTTAAGAAACAAAACCAACGAACATGAGGGGGAAAAGGCAAAAAACCAAGAAACAGACTCTTAACTATAGAGAACAAACTGATGGTTACCAGAGAGGAGATGGGTGGGGGGATAGGTTAAATAGGTGATGGGGATTAAGGAATGTACTTGTTGTGATAAACACTGAGTGTTGTGTGGAAGTGTTGAGTCACTATATTGTACACCTGAAGCTAATACACACTTTATGTTAACTAACTGGAATTTAAATAACTTTTTAAAAAAGAAAGTAAGCCATAGCTCCACTTCTTGTGGAGTGGCAGAGTAGCAGATTATGAGTGGCAGAAAAGGTGTCCCTAAAGGGATCTGCTTGGGGAAGGAGTCTCTTCATTTCTTTCCTTTTTTCTGTATCGTTTTGTTCTTTTCTTTTTTTCTCTTATCCTTTTTCTTTCTCTCTCCTTTAATCATAGTTGGGGAAAAGTACACATTTTGCTGCATTGATTTGCTGAGGAGTAAGAGTGAGCAGGCCATGTGCTTAGATGGAAATGTCACGGAGAGCAAAGAACACAGACTCTAAATTAAGAGTTGGGAAATTTTTTCTGTTAAGGGCCAGGTGGTATTTATTTTAGGATTTGCAAGCTGTACAGTGTCTTAAAACTACTCAACTCTGCTGTTGTAGTGCAAAAACAGCCATAGACAATAATTAAATTAATGACCTTGGTTATGTTTTAATGAGACTTTTGGTCACTGAAATTTGGTTTTCATATAATTTCTGCATGTCACAAAATATTTTTTTTCTGACTTTGTCAACCATTTAAAATTGTGAAAACCATTTTTATCTTGGGGGCTACAAAAACCAGGTGGCAGGCTAGGTTTGGCCCACAAGCTAAGATTTGGTGACTCCTACTATATAGGGATTAACATTGCACAACTTATTTATAAAAATGTCATTATTCGTGTCCACGTTCCCAACATGGAGGCCTTTTATATGCTCTAAATTAGGTGGGGATACAGAATTGTAGAGATAGTTCAGGGTATCATTGGTGTGAGTAAAGAAGAAAAATGTTTAATATGGTTGGTTCCACGGATAACGTGGAGGTTCTGGCATGGCCTCCTTTCAGTCCTGTCTCATCTGTGTAGCTGCTATTTCTAGGTCTTGGGCAGAGAAGCAGACTGAATAGAGGGGCCTACTTTCTTCTGTCTGGTATTAAATCTCCCCGTAGTGGTATGAAAAACCCCAATTTTGAGTCAAGCCTGGGCTCAAATCTCTTATTAGATGTGTGACTTGTTATGTAACTGCTCTGAACATCAGCAGAGTGATGGCTTATATAGCTAATTCATAGACTTATGAGGATCTTAGTAATAATCATAACAGTAATAGCAGCTAACACATGGTGTTTACTAGGTGCCAAGCAGTGTTCTAACTACTTTATATATATTAACTCATTTAATTCTCTCACAGCCATGATAATCGTTACGTATACCATCACTTTAATGATGAATCTGAGACACAGAAATGTTAAGTAACTCATTCAAGGTCACATAGTTAAGTGGCAGAGCCAACATGTGAACTTGGGGAGTCTGGCTTCAGAGTGCAAGCTCTTAGTTAGTAGGGTTTACAGTCTTCTAAAGTGGGAACATCTATAGCACATAGGTTCTCAGGAAATTACAGATACATTAACTTTACAGAATGTTGTGGTATCTTCCTCAAAAAGCTTGGTGTACTTGTGAGATTGCGGATATGCATAAATATGAGATTCAGATTTTGATTTTTCAGAGTTTTTGCTTTTTTTTTTCAGTTACATATTATGGGAATTTTTTTTTCCTTTAGGAGTTTTTAGTACTGTTATTGTTAAGAATTATTTTGAAATGAATCACTTTCTGTGAGACAATATGGTGGAAATGACTTAGACTCCAGAGCCAAAAGACCCCTGACTCCTATCCTTGTCCTGATTCTGCATTTTTCTTCGTGTGATCTTGAGTACATGATTTTACTCTTTCAGTTCTGTCTCTTTTAGCTGTGAACTGAAGATAATCCTCATGGGATTCAAATGAGATAACCTGTGCCAGAGTGCCTAGCAATATGTCTAGTATGTTACCAGACACTCAAACACTAGTACTGTGTTTGCCTGTTTATTACATAGAATAACCTAAACTTTAGAACTGAAAGATGGGAAAACTGAGGCTCAGGGAATTACTTGTTTAGGATTGTACAGGTTATTAGAGGCAGAAGGAGCTGTCACTTAATGCAGGTCTGCTAATTTCTCAGTCTTGTCTTATTTTTACTGTTCACACTCCTTTATGCATTACATACAGAAGCATTATGTAATATGACTGGGTTTTGGGGGGATTTTTCTTAGGACAAAACCTGACATTCTTATTAAGAAAATAACTAGTGTTTGGTTTTTGAATTTTGATAATTTATCATTAAAAAGTCATATGGACAATTTAAGCTTTGAGGTTATTCAAATCATGTATTTGTATATATACCAAACTAGTGTTTGGTATTTTGAATTTTGGTGATTAATCATTAAAAAGTCATATGGACAATTTGGTAAGCCTTGAGGCTATTCAAATCAAAATGTTAATACATTTTCTCCATATTTATTGATTTTTAATATAGAAGTAGCATGTTTATTATGGAAAAAATAAATTAGAACCAGAAACATTGAGGAATTTTTTAAAAACCTATTCAGTCACATCGGTTAGAGAAAATGTTAACACTTTGAAGTAAAAGTGGCCTCATCTTACATTTACAACTTTGTAACTGATTTTTTATCAATTAGTGATAAATGAGGAAGACTTGCCAAATTCAGATGTTGGTAATTTTCATTTAGTCCATTCTGTGAATGGTTATCAGTTCATTTAAATAATCCCGTTGTTGGCATGTCACTTTTTTCCAGATTTCATAGAAACAGTGTATTTTTGCAAAATTGTCCTATTATTTTCACTTGATCTCTGATTTGTATAATTCTCTATTAATTTTTAAGACTTTGATATATGTTCATAATTTTTCTACAGAGTAGAAATACAGTCCATTTACATTTTCTTTCTGGAAAGCCACTGTATTTCGGGATAGGATGGTTTTATTAATCTCCCATTCTTTAGTAAAGGATAGCAACATATGGTGTAAATCTTCCAGATTCTGTATTTCTCTTTTACATGTTGTCACTTTAATATTTTGCATAGTGATATATCTGGAATAATAATCTTTAATTTTCAAAAGTTGGATTGTTTATAGCTACATGTAATAAAATAACTATTAAGTGATGCCCATGCAATTTTTAAGTGTGTTTTGTAGGGTTTTTTTTTTTCTCTCTCTTTGCATGCATGGATTTGCATGGGACATCTGGAAAATAGCATCAGAATGAATTGAATGTTTCTGAATTACAGTTGACCCTTGAACAACATAGGTTTGAATTGTGTGGGTCCACTTACATGCAGGTTTTTTAAAATAGATATATAAACTACGTATTGATAAATCCAGTACAGTACTGTAAATGTATTTTGTCTTCCTTAAGATTTTATATTTTCTTTTCTCTAGCTCACTTTAATGTAAGAATATATATAGTAGTACATATAACATATACATATAACATATGAAAGTGTTAATCACCTTTTTATGTTATTGGGAAGGCTTCTGGTCAATGGTAGGCTATTTGTAGTTAAGGGGAATCTAAGGTTATATGCAGATTTTCAACTATACAAAGGGGTGGCACCCCTAATGCCAACATTGTTCAGGGGTTAATTGTGCTTGTCTTTGTCACTTACCTTGATAGATTAGAGACAAAGTTCTACTTTTGAGACAAAATTGGACTTAACTAGTATGTCCCTTATCTACTTACTCATTTGCCTTCTTGTTCAGTTTCTCATGATTAACAAGATATAGCTCACAATTAACAAGATGTGAACTCTGTTGCCAGTTGCCATTTAGTCTTACATGTTAGTAAGATAATTGTAGGAACATTTTGAGAGTCAAGTAAATTTTTTTAATCGTTTTGATTCTTTGTAGTTTTTATTCCTCTGCATATGAATTTGAGACCAAAAGGAATAGCTATGAATGAATATTTCTTTGGATCCAGTAGACTACTTTCTTTAAATTATGGTAATCTCAAATCATCAGACAGTAGAAGCATAGATTTTAGAGTTGAATAAACCATAGAGATAGATATTGTAGCCCAGCTTCTTGCTTGATGAAATAATCTCTTCTTCAGTATTTTTGGAAGCGCTGCTGGAACAGCCAGTTACGAACGTGAATCTACATATTTTAGGTTCACAACGTAGTGAAACATAAGATTTTGCCCTAAGGGAACTTAAAATATTCCTTGTTTCTATGACATGGGATTAATGAGCAAGTTCACTGACATGTTTTGGGTTCAAGATTGTATGCTCAGAATCATTTTCTTGCAGTATAACACACTTTGGAGATTACATTTATAAGTTTATTTTTAAATCTCCCGTATCGTAGGTAATTGGAGAAAAAACTTTCTTTCCAGATAGAAGTTGTGTTAACTATAAATCAAGTATTTACAAACTATTAAAACAAAATAGTAATTATATAAAGGGAAGTTGGATTGATACTTTAACTTGACTCTCATTTTCTTAATGTTAGTTTTTTTAAATGATAAAATACAAAAACTCTTGGCCATAAACCTTGTGATTTTCATCTGTTGTACTAAATAATTTAAGCACGTATACCATCAAACAAGTTTTTTTCTCCCTTTTTTTTAAACCAAAGAAAAGCATATTTTATTTCAGCAATGATTTTGATAAGCATTGCTGTTCTTTATCATAGTATCTTAGGCAGTATTTTATCAAACATTTCACTAGTTAAAAGTTTATATAAACAGTGGATCTTCATTTTCTACACTCATCTTAATACGCATATTTGTTACTTTAGTGCTTCACTAACTTGCCTTGCCTTAAGATCTGTTGAGCTTTTTACATGAGAGCTATACTAATCTTAATCACTGTGCTTGTTGTTTGAATGTTTGCTACAGGAAGCGAGCAGCTGCAAAGCATCTAATAGAACGCTACTACCACCAGTTAACTGAGGGCTGTGGAAATGAGGCCTGCACGAATGAGTTTTGTGCTTCCTGTCCAACTTTTCTTCGTATGGATAACAATGCAGCAGCTATTAAAGCCCTCGAGCTCTATAAGATTAATGCAAAACTCTGTGATCCTCATCCCTCCAAGAAAGGAGCAAGCTCAGCTTACCTTGAAAACTCGAAAGGTGCCCCTAACAACTCCTGCTCTGACATAAAAATGAACAAGAAGGAAGGACAAGGAGCAAGAGATGATTTTAGAGGTAAGATGTTCTATTTTTAATTGAGAATTTTTGACTGAAAACCAGATTGGAGATTTATTTAAATAAAATGTGTAAGGTTTTTGTTTGTTTTGTCTAATTGTGTGACATTAGGACATGGTAGTATAGTGGTATTTATTTACCACTCTATTTATTTGTTTATTGTGGTAAAGGACAGCACTAATAATTGAAGTTATGATTTAACAACATTTTAGTGTTCTGATGGTCCCTAGTTAGAAGCAGATTATATTCCAAAAGTTCCTTTGTTAATGGATTGATTGGAAGTTTTGAACATTTTCCACTAGGAAAAATGTATTAAGTGGTAATCTCCTAAATTAGACCACAAAATCTAATTAAATTATCAAATAGCTGGATTGAATATGTGGAATGAGTTGTGGAACCCTAGAACTATGAGGTGAAAGAAGCAGAAAGAAGTGTTGGCAGTCTTTTCCATTTCTGAGGGCAAAGCAAAATTTTGTAGCCATTACTTGAGAAATAATTCAGTTTTTCTTTCTAATATTCTTCCCATATTCTGCTCAGTTTCTTCTAGGCATTTGGCACACTCATGCTGCCAAGAATCATCATCACCTACCAATGGCAGTCTTCACCTAAGCTCTTGTTTTCTAAATGATCCTGTATTCCAAATTGTTTAAAATATATATGTATATTTTATATATATACATAATATAAATATATTTTGTGTGTGTATATATATATATATATATATTTTTAATCTTCAAATCCAAGCTTTCTTTTCCTCAGTGAAGATAATCAGTGTTAGTAACAAGGTAATTGAATTTCTGAATAACTGAAAGGGCTCAGCCCTACCAGAGGAATTGTATTTTAAAAGAAAGCTTTTTGTTTAAGACATGTATAAGTTGGAGAACACCTCTGAAGTTTTCAGTAGCATGATTTAAATGCAGATTTAATTTAATTGGTGACATGGAATTGTGTTATATCTTTTACTCTAACCTCACAGTAAAGGTGTTTTCATAACTTGATAACAACTTTACACAGCTTCAAAATGTGTGGTTCTGTTACATGATTTAGCTCACACACTGTGGATAAGTATGTGAATGTTGTCAGTATCTGTAATGGGGAAGTTGCATTGACTCCATTATACACATTTCTCCAGCAAGTGTGCACCACAGAGTAATAGTTACTAAATGTAGAATGTGCTGGTGCAGTTGAATGCAGCCAGCTATAGGGGATTATAGTAGAGGGTGGATGGACACATCTCTTTGTCTATGTGCTTCATCATAGGTGCTTCTTGAGTGGTTATTCCCAGTCTTTGTTTCCTATTTTTGGTCAAGTCTGTGTAATTTAGCAGTTCCTTATACTTTCTTCCAATATGCTACTCTGTTCTCCTACTCCCTTTTTTCTGTAATTTTCTATTTACTGTATTATTTTTTCTACTAGGAATTACAAATGCTTTAACTACACTAGTACTTTTATTTTTATTGTTAATTATATTTGTTGGTTCTCATTACAAAAGTGTATATGTGTTGAATAGTCTGCAAACTGTTTTTTGCGTAAAAATTTTGTTAAGTGTAGAATTTTGTAGATTAAGTGTCTTTTCAGGAATATACATACATTACAGAATATACAGATATACCATAGAGGAATGTTTCTTCATTTAACATTTTCTCAGTAGAACATCTCTTTTTATTGATAAACATTGTGAATGTTTGTGTCTCTAATTTTAATGTTCTTTAATTTATGTCTGAAAAACTCAGTTCAATATTTTAAACAAAACACTATCTAGGGAAAGTATTGGTGCATTTTATATGGAATTAGTAGAGTGTCAGAATCACTTGAAGGCATTCTGAACAGCACGTCAACAAAGGGTGTCTGGGTCTAGAGTGTTGCTGTCCCTTAAGATAGGTCATGTTACTCATGAAGAACAACTTTTTGTTATTAAGTTTATGACTTGATGATTTAGGAAGCAGAGTGTTTTGTGCCTTAACAAGATAGTTACTTATCATAATTATTTACTCTATTTTGGTTACATTTTAGGAAATAAGGGGTTTTTTGTTGTAAGAAGATATTATAATTTTTTCCAATTAAAATAATCGGAAATAAGCTCCCAGTTAGCAGTTTCACACTTTTCAGGAAGAGATTACTGGTGTTTAGCAGAAGATGTCTATACAGTTTCCCCCACTATCTGAAAGTAGAGCATTTCTATGAAACTTTCATGAGCCAAAATGGCATACACAGTGAAGAAGCAATTACCATTACTTTATATGGAAACATTTTGAGGTTCCCTTATCCAAAAAAAAAGCCTCTCTTAGGCTTTTCTGATACCTTAGGACACATCTTGCTAATGGATGTACAAAATGAATTGAGATAAACACAGATAGATGCCTACAGACACAGTTCAAGACTATGGTGACTTGAGGCTGAGATGCTGAGTGTAATTTCTGGGGAAGGAGATTGTCAGTGCCACTTGCGCTCTTCACAGTATGTGTTGCCTCTATAATGGCTTGCAGTAAAACAAACACTAAATGCTTTTTTGCTTTTTAACTTTCTTACTATAAGTGAAGTAGCCTAGTGGGAACTTTCGAAAAGGAAGGAATACCTACATATCGTAATAGAACAGATCTAAAGATTAACTCTTAAAGAGTTAAAGCCCATAAAAGAAACTATAGGTGTTGACAGTCTGGTAGCAGGGGCCAAAGATCAGATTCATGGTGTGGTAAAATTTGGTATTTTTGTGGTTGAACTTATACAGCTGTTCATTTAATGATCATTTGCATGAAGGTAGAAATCACGTTAAGAAATTTTATATGTTGTACAGTACATGTATATGAGTCCATTTGTCACAGTGAAGACTGAATTACCTATGTGTCTCTAAAATTATCCTCTGCTTAATTTAAGTATTTGTTGACAGGCCTGCCACTTCCTTAATAGATTAAGACTTTGTCAGTACTATAGTGTATTATATTTGACCAATATAATCTCCATAAAATTAATAGACAAAATATATAATTTGTTCTCTTTCCTGTAAAATAATGTATCTGAATAATTTATTCAAAATGCAAAGACTATTTGGGGTGCTCCATTTTTATTTCTTCCACAATTTGATGGTGTTTTTATTGGCCTATATAGCATTGTCTTATGGAAAATGGTCTTGAGATATTAGTAAACATTGTTTTTAATTTTTTAATTTGAAGGACAGTATTTTATCATTTGTAGAGACATGTATAGCTTTTGCTTAATTTGAAGATGGTATTAGCTTATTTTATATACTAATAAAATCTAGGAGATTCTTTTGTTGTACTCAAAATATGAGTTAATCATGTTTGACCCCATTTATCAGGAAAATAAACCCTCAGAAGTTCATCAGTGGACTTTCAGTTACGTAATCGGCAGACCTGTGCCACATGTCATCCCTCAGGTGCAAATGAGGATTAGAATACGAGTGTTTAGTTTTTACAGTTTCTGTATGATGGCATGTCAGAGAAGAGGGGGTGAATAAATTTGGAGTTAGCCAGCCTACAGTGTCTGTCCAGATATATTAGAGAGTTCGAGGAAGACCAGAGTTTCATAAGATCACCTTTTAGATACTTAATGATTAATAATTAATTCTAGTTTGGAGTTAGAAGTAATCTAAGTAGAAAATTTAAGTTGGCATATTCATGTGAACTAAACTAGTATTAACTCAGGACACAAAACTCTTGGGGTACTATCCAGCATTGTTTGTAGACATTTTTTTATCAGTTGAAAATTATATCCTTTATAGTCCGTCATTAACGGTTTCATATCCTTTTAGTAATTGGTTAGCCTTACCTGTTTACCAACATTTGAATACTTTCAGCAATAGCAGACATGTATGATAGTCCTTAAGGATCAAAAAAAACATACATGTACATATAAGTAACATGGAACTTTCAAGTTTTTGAATTATCTTTGCCCAGAGCATTCATTCTGCCTTTAGCTATTAGAACAGGTAATATCGTTGATTTGTAAAGTGAAATTCTATTATCTAATGTTTAAAGGATATTTTAACTTCTTTTATTAATGAGGTGGTTTGACTCTAGGGTCAGAATATTTTTATTTTTGTATTTTTATTTGAAATACAATCATTTATGTTCTTGTTTGAATATTAAAACAGTTTATTTTATCCCCAGTTACCTGATATTCATGCAAGTCATAAGAGAAAAATAGTGTCGAGGTATATTTCTCAGCTTTGGTAAGGTGAAATTTTGTGATTATTTAGCTTATCTCAGATTGTAAGTGAGAAAATGAAGGGTGGGTTGTTTTTGTTTTTGTTTTTCTTTTGAGAATAGATCATGAGAGTTGAGTACATGAGAGCTAAGCTAATTTTAATTTTAAAATGTTGGGTTTTTTCCTTCTTTTTTTAAATTGAAGTTCATGTTAAGTACCGGGGAGTTTATTATTTGAGGTGTTGAATCTATGAGTTGTCAATTGTATGATTCTCCAAGCATTGAGATTTACTACTCCTTGAGTTGGAATGTTTTACATGGTTTTCCTCTTTAATCACTGTATTCAGTGCTTTCTATGAAAAAGTTGAATATTATGAAAGCTCAGATTAAACTGCATGGAATAAATTAACATTTGAGTAGAAGGTGACAACTTGGAGTTTTAGAAAACAGCATGTTAAAATTCTTTTTGTGTGTGTTTGAGTAAGCAAAGCATAAGAGAGGGAACACACATGGAGTTTCTCTTTATTGTTCTAATGTGTTTCATCCAGTGGCATTGCCTTTTGGGAGTGGAATGCTTACACATTCCATAACCTCCAAACTTACTCTTCATTCCTCTCAAGGGGATATACATATAGATTTAAATTTTGTTGGTGAAGAGAATTAGAGCCATATGTTTATCTGGTTTTTATCTGAAAGGGAATAATGGCAAATATAAAAAGAGCAAATATAAAAGTATTTAAAAAGGTGATAATGGAGGTCTAAGCTACTATTTAGAGACAGATGTGAGAGGGAAGTAAAATGCATGCCAGCAAACTGCTATACTCTCTCACCCCTGCAATAGTAACTGGCTCCAGAGATTTTTGTCTCAAAAATCATTGAAATGTTCTTTCCTTTTTTGTTTCTTCTGTGATTTCATTAGAATTTCAACTTGTTAACATTACTATAACTCTGAAAATGTGTAATAAATTGATACTTGGTTTGGCCTTTCATTGCCTCCTGTCATTTTTGCCTCTTACAGGGTTATTTCTTTATGGGGGAGAATGGATGTAATAGAAAAACATAATAAAACTCCCTTGGATTTAAATAATACAGACTGCAAAAATAATAGTGATAAGTTGCAAAAACAATCAGCTTATCTTACAAAATTTTTATTACCAGAAAAGTACCAAGAAGGATTAAGCATAATTTAGACAGTCTACTGGTATTTTAAAGACTTTGAAGGCAAGGTAGGGAAAGGTGAGAAGCTTCTTTCTATATTAGTAAGGATGAACTACACTGCAATATTAAGTACATACCAGAAAGCACTAGCTTATTAAACAAAGTAGGAATTTATTTCTGGCTCATCTAAAAGCCATGATATTCTGGGTTGGCTTCTAAGTTCTGCTTCACATAATCATTCAGAAGTCGTGCTGTAGGGTGCCTGGGTGGCTCAGTCGTTAAGCGTCTGCCTTCAGCTCAGGTCACGATCCCAGGATCCTGGGATCTACCCCCACATCAGGCTCCCTGCTAGGCGGGAAGCCTGCTTCTCTGTCTCCCACTCCCCCTGCTTGTGTTTCCTCTCTCGCTGTGTCTCTCTCTGTCAAATAAATAAAATCTTAAAAAAAAGAAAAGAAATGGTGCTGTAGTGACATTGTTATCTTCAACACGTGGCTTCCAGAGCATCCTGGGAGCATCATCCCATTAGCCAGAACGAAAAGCCTTGGCCTGCAAGTAGCACTTAACCTTAAAAACGTGAGAAAGCTGGGAGATGTGGTCCAAATCTGCCCAGAAAGGAGAGGAAAAAGATTTTGGTAGCTACATAGTAATGTTTCACTTGTCTGCTGTAAGTTGCCTTCTACTATATTTTTTATTACTCTGTAACTATTTCCTGTTTATTCCAACCTGATTCCTGGCTACAGATGGCAGTGTTTGTCAACTTCAGATCTCATGAGAAATGGTATAGTAAATTTTTCTCAATCACCCACAGAATGACCACCCTGGAAAAAACTAAACAGGAAGACTCAAAAGGAACCAGTTTGATTTTAAGATACATAAAAGTAAGACAAGGGCTTTTTCCCAGAGGATGCTGAAGGAACCCTTTCTTGCCTTCCTCAGTCTTTTGAGAAGAGTAGTGAAATAAGAAACATCTCAGAACAGTAGTGTTTCTGCTCTAAAGTGAGGTTGTAAGAGGTGTATTGTGATGAATCAAATCAGCACATGATTATCTTGGTTTATATTTATAAATTAAAGCTACGTGTTAATTTCCACTGTGATTGTGAAAAGAGTTTGAGCTCATTAAAAGCTACGTATTATTGAAAGAATGTAAAAGAATGGGTGAGGTTGTTGCAGTTAATAGTAGTTCATTGACAAAAATAAGTAAATATATTTTGTTGACTCTAAGTATTAGATATATTTTAAAAGAGTTGTAAGTTATAAATGGTATTGAGTACAAAATGGCTGTTTTACTTTACACTAGAACTTGTTAAGACAAACTAAACATACTTACAAATGTTCTTTTTTTTCTCTAATTTTCTAGATGTGACTTACCTAACAGAAGAGACGGTATATGAAATTCTTGAATTATGTAGAGAGAGAGAGGATTATTCCCCTTTAATCCGTGTTATTGGAAGAGTTTTTTCTAGTGCTGAGGCATTGGTACAGAGCTTTCGGAAAGTCAAACAACACACCAAGGAAGAACTGAAATCTCTTCAAGGAAAGGATGAAGACAAAGATGAAGATGAAAAGGAAAAAGCTGCATGTTCTGCTGCTGCTATGGAAGAAGATTCAGAAGCATCTTCTTCAAGGATAAGTGATAGTTCACAAGGAGATAACAACTTACAAAAATTAGGCCCTGATGATGTGTCTGTGGATATTGAGGCCATTAGAAGGGTCTATACCAGATTACTCTCTAATGAAAAAATAGAAACTGCTTTTCTCAATGCACTTGTATATTTGTCACCTAATGTGGAATGTGACTTGACGTATCACAATGTATACTCTCGAGATCCTAATTATCTGAATTTATTCATTATTGTAATGGAGAATAGAAATCTCCACAGTCCTGAGTATCTGGAAATGGCTTTGCCGTTATTTTGCAAAGCAATGAGTAAGCTACCCCTTGCAGCCCAAGGAAAATTGGTTAGACTGTGGTCTAAATACAGTGCAGACCAGATTCGTAGAATGATGGAAACATTTCAGCAGCTTATTACTTACAAAGTCATAAGCAATGAATTTAACAGTCGGAATCTAGTGAATGACGATGATGCTATTGTTGCTGCTTCAAAGTGCTTGAAAATGGTTTACTATGCAAATGTAGTGGGTGGGGAAGTGGACACAAATCATAATGAAGAAGATGATGAAGAGCCCATCCCTGAGTCCAGTGAATTGACACTTCAGGAGCTTTTGGGAGAGGAAAGAAGAAATAAGAAAGGTCCTCGAGTGGACCCACTGGAAACTGAACTTGGTGTTAAAACTCTGGATTGCCGAAAACCACTTATCCCTTTTGAAGAGTTTATTAATGAACCACTGAATGATGTTCTAGAAATGGATAAAGATTATACTTTTTTCAAAGTAGAAACAGAGAACAAATTCTCTTTCATGACATGTCCCTTTATATTGAATGCTGTCACAAAGAATTTGGGATTATATTATGACAATAGAATTCGCATGTACAGTGAACGAAGAATCACTGTTCTCTACAGCTTAGTTCAAGGACAGCAGTTGAATCCGTATTTGAGACTCAAAGTCAGACGTGACCATATCATAGATGATGCACTTGTCCGGGTAAGTTGGGCTTATGCTTAAAAATTAGTACTAGAACAAATACCTAATATTGGGGAGATTGTAATACAGTTCAGTGAATTCATTTTATAAGTGACTGAAAAAAAATATGGCATATGGTATAGGAATATATGGATGTTTTTGTATTATAAGTTGTAAATATTATACTTTTGTTGTTCCTGTCCAAATTTATAAATGTGTTCCACAAAGTATTGGTTGTCTTGAATAATGATCACTCTCTCTTGGAAAAATAATAGATTTTCTAAATATTGACAACTAACCCCAAAAGTTTCTTCTCTATTGAGAAGACAAGTGGATATTGGGAAAAGACCATAGCACAGGAGCAAGGGCATGTGGAGGTACCCAGTAATAAATATGAGTATCAAATCTTAACTGGGAAGAGTGGTACGATAAAATCATACCATAAAATAATAAGTGGTGTCCAAAAATTCCATGATATAAAATTTAGAGTTGCATTATCATGAAGGTGAAGTGATCTGGGCAGTTTGGTGAGTGCTGCTAGTAAGAGTTCCTGCTGGATCACTCAAAATGCCCCTGTAGAACACTGCCTGATTGTGATATTTTCTTACCATTTAAATATATTGGAGTTGGTTGGAACTACTAGGAAAACAGCCAGCCATTCCAGGAATCTTGAAATTAATGGTGCTTTGTGTCATCAACCCAATACAGGGATATTGAGCTGGGAGAATATTGGGAACACAACGTGGGTACCCACCTTCTAACTTCCTATTTCTCCAGATTGGCTGCCTTTTGTTAACTCCTTGCCTCCACAGAAAATAAGAATTTTAGTGCCCCCATTTAAGAATGCAGGCCTGGCCAAACAAAAAAAAAGAATGTAGGCCTGGGCAGAAGACATAAACCAATTGCCAGTCATGTGCCCAAATTTGCATTTGTCCTAAGATGCTTTATCACAGGTTGTTTGTGTGTGTGTGTGTGTTTAAGGTTTTATTTTTAAGTAATCTCTACACCCAACGTAGGGTTTGAACTCAAAACCCCAAGATGAAGAGTCCCATGCTGTACCAGCCAGGCGCCACCCCCTTCATCACAGGGTTTTATTGTATTCATGATACTACATAAACCCATCATTACTAGTTCTTTTTTTTTTTTTAACAACTTCAAGTAAAATTTGATGTCAAGTAAAATTAAGATACAGTCAGCATTCCATACTAATAAAAGATAAGAACCCACGACACAACTAGGAAATAGTGATACTTATTTTAAAGTATATTTTAGTTTTAGGATAGATTTGTCTATTCATAAAACTGTAAACCAGTGGAAAAAGTCGTTTGACATCTCCGAAATTTAAAAGTTGCAGAAATTGTGTGCCTCTTTTGTTTGTTACTGGTTTTTAAAAACACCAAATATATTTCCAGTGTTGAGGAAAGAGTCTACATTATTTAAGTAACTCAAGCAGTTTTTCAACAGAGGCAGAATGAGTCATTAATTATTTGGAGTAATTATCATTGCTTGGTTTCTGGTTCTCTTTTTATTTTACTCTCTTAGTTTTGAGCTACGTAAATAATTAATATACTTAATAACTGTTCATCAGGCAGCCAGCAACTTACTTTACGTAGGTTAGCAGAATGTAGGGTATCATATAAGGATGTTAGTGATGTTTTGTGAAAAGTACATTGAGGTCTTATCTATGAATTTCGATTGTTAGAACAGAACTGCAAATCCTAAGACCATACATTTTATGTTTGGCTTCTTGGGTTGGAATCCTTTCATCTATTTCCAGTAAAAGCTATGCCTACTTTTAAAAAAGCAATGAAATTACTCTCTATAAGATTAATTCAGAGTTAGAAATAAAAAAAATTATCCACCTTTCTTATCTGCCTTCAGCTAAGAAATCTACCCAACCTGATTTTCCTTCCCCTGCCTTGTTTCCCACCTTGCTTAGTAAAGCAAGGCTAAGAAACAATAAAAGTTTAAGTACTTGTTGTATACTTATTTTATCATCTAGAATTTTGAGGAAACAGTCATTTTGGTTTATAAGGCCTTTTTTTAAAGCGGATTTTAGAGTAAAACTGTGAACTTCTTTATTATACTAACAGTAGTTTTTTTTAGTGGGTTCTGCTTAATTCTGTCAAACCTGAATATTATAATTTGACCAGTTTTAAATCAGGATTCACTAGATAATATCTGTACTTGAATATTACCAGTCCACAAAAGCAGTTCGCTTCAGAAATCTTGTGTGAGGCACTTTGCTAAGCAGTAGAGATGTAAAGATGAATTATGACCACTGAAAAGCTTAGGGGTGCTAAATGTTCATACTAAACAAATTTTACTCTTTCCTTTTTTCTTCTTTTTTTAAATAACAATGTGAAAAGGTTAGAAAAATTAAAACATCGAAATAGCCTTGTGAGTCAAATTGATAGTCTTATTTTTAAAAAAAATATTCATAGTGGTGTGATTATGATAAAGTCATAGTATTTTAGTAACAAAAAGCAGAAGGTTTACGACAAGAAGTAGTTTAAGGTCATCCTCTCAGCCGAACTCTCAAAAGTACTGATGGATTTTTAACATCTTATTCCTCAAGGATCTACTTTGCTTTTTTAAAGCCTTATTATTCTGTAACAGTTTGACAAACAAAATAAACCTATTGACTGCTTTTTATGACCTGCTAATTTGAACTACAGAGTAGGGTTGGGAAGAGAAGAGGAAATGAGAATTGTGGTGAGCTCAATATTAATAATTAAATAATCAAGGTTATAGAATTGTAGACTTTAAGAGCTAAAAGAAGCCTTGGAGTTCATCTACTCATTAGTTTACAAATGAGGCCTAGAAAATACTGACTACATATATGACACTCTTGAGTATGTTTTCTGTTAGGTCCTATTGTAAGGCTGACTGGCATGGTGGAAAAGGGAGGAGTAGTAGTACCTTCCATTGATAATTACAGTTTTTTTTTTTTAAGAAAACTATGTTCCTCATTTTCATATACCATGTAATTTGAATCAGACTAGCAAATTATTTCCTAACTGGAGTTTTTAGAGGAACTGGGGTTGGTTTGTTCTAAAGATTTATTTATGAGAGAGAGAGAGAAAGAGAGCATGAGTGGGAGGGGCAGAGGGGAAGGGAAAGAATCTCAAGTGGACTCCACACAGAGCCCAATGCGGGGCTTGAGATCACGACTTGAGCGCAAACTAAGAGTTGGACCCTTAACCAGCTGTGCCACCCAGGCGCCCCTAGAGGAACTGTCTTTGATGCCAGCTGAAGAATTAGTGTTTACAGTATTTTATTGAAACTTAGATACTGTTGATTGTAGGACACACAGTAATAGGAAAAAATGCTGCCAGTTATGTTGTGAAATGCTACCAGTTTTATGGTATATCCTGATTTCAGAGATGTTAAAATGTGAAAACAGAGAAATGAATTTTAGAATCAATGAAAGAAATATGGTAAACTATAAGTTGCCTTTTCACAAATAGGTGTCTCAGAATCATTTAAGAACTACCCCACACTTGTAAATTATTGCAGTATTTCACCCTAGGACTTACTTTCACTATTTGTTGTTGTTTCTTAGAAAATAGTACTGTGATACTTATGAGCTCACTTGAATTAAAACAATCGATGGGCGCCTGGGTGGCTCAGTCAGTTAAGCATCTGCGTTCGGCTCAGGTCACGATCCCAGGGTCCTGGGATCGAGTCCCACATTGGGCTCCCTGCTCAGCGGGAAGCCTGCTTCTCCCTCTCCCACTCCCCTGCTTGTGTTCCTGCTCTCTCTGTCAAATACATAAATAAAATCTTTAAAAAAATAAAATAAATAAATAAAACAATCGAAACCGTGATAAGGCTTTTACAGTATTTTACTAATAACATTTAGTAGATAATTTGTAATTTTTTTTAGACATAGCATTTTCAAAGGAAAAGGGTATGAAAAATTTTTTTCATTTTTATTTTAGGAGATTATGTTAGGAGAGGACAAGTATTATTGAAGACAATATTGCCATCTGTGACATACCCCAAACTGCCTTCACATCTGAACGAGAAATATGTTTTAAAAACAATTCCAAGGTTCTACCTTCTGGAGGTTCAGTGTAGGAGTTCTGGTGTAGAGCCTAGGAATTACATTTCTGGTAGTGCCCCCAGATACTCTGATAAAGCCAGACTGCAAACCAGTTTTGGGAAGATGGCTATTGGTACAGTTTATATATACACATTTATTGAGGCCATTTTTATATACAAGTACATGTTTAGGAAACTGGCAGTCTTTGAGAGGATGATGAAAACAGCAGGTTTAGAATAAGGATTGATGGTGGTGGGCGACTTGGTTCAGATTAGTCAGGGAATCCTAGAATTCTAAATAGGGATCTGAAGACTGAAAGGAAAGCCTGAAATGGACAACTGTATAGGAGAGTCCAAAAATATGAACTAGTATAGGATAAAGTCCAAAAATAAGAACTAGAACAGATCAAGGTGATAGACACAAATGAATAGCCCTACTACCAATTGGTTCTGCTCAGTCCCCTTTAAAAAATTAAAATCAGGGGCGCCTGAGTGGCTCAGTCGTTAAGCGTCTGCCTTCGGCTCAGGTCATGATCCCAGGGTCCTGGGATCAAGCCCCACATCGGGCTCCCTGCTCGGCGGGAAGCCTGCTTCTCCCTCTCCCACTCCCCCTGCTTGTGTTCCCTCTCTCGCTGTCTCTCCCTGTCAAATAAATAAAATCTTAAAAAAAACAAAAAAATTTAAAATCATTTTTTTCTGGGCTCTAACAGTGCTCTATATCCCAGTCCCCACCATTTTCCTTGGCAAACACCCTTAGTTATTATTGAAATAAAACTTGATTCTTTTATTTAACAATTGACCTACAGTGCTTTAAGAATAAGATTATCCTGTGCTGCCCTGAGTATGATTAATTGTATCTTGTACATTCACTGTATTGTGTTTAATGCAATGACCATTATTGTTTTTGTAGTTTATTTGAAACGAAGAACTTCATGCCTAATTTATGTCCTCAGAGGAGATTAAGAGAATGAGGTAGATCTACTTAGATTCTCATTATCATATAATTAAAACAATGAAACTTGTCAAACTCCTTAGCTCTGTATGAGAAAAAAGAAACTCAGATTCTGGCCTATAGAAATTAATGGCAGAATTGGAAGTAGAATTCAGGGTTCCTGGTCTCAAAAGCAGATGTGGTTATATGATATGGCTGTTACCCAAACATCTAAACTTTATTTGTAAGATATAAAAAACTGCTTCATCTGTTTTTAGAGAAATGAAAAAATTAAATATATCTGGATAATCTAAAGATCTTATTCTAGCCAGTACCTTACAGATATAAACGAAGTGTTTAACTGTAGAGTGTAGTAAGTTGCCTAAAGTTGCTTAAGCCAGCCATTCTTAGAGAGCCTAGGTATTCTTAAGTATTAGTGAGATCTGTTTTATGTGACTACTCCTTCTACTTAAATATCTGTACCATTAAGCAATTTTTTTTCAATTATGGATAAAGATGACTTTATCATGAGTAATAGTATCCCAGAATACTGTAAGATTTTAAAGGATGGGTTTTCCTTTTGACTCTTGTAAATCTGGCAAGTATGATATTTTTATATTAAGATGTCATCCTATCTAGGTATTCTGGGAATGCTTTGATACTAGATCAATTTTTTAAAAAATGATCTCTCTAGGATTTCATCATCATGGCCAATTAAAAGTTCAGAAATTGAAAATCGTTTTGTCCAACAATTGATGAAATCAAGTCTTAGAAGAGGAAGTCATATAAGGAAGAGGTAGATGTCATTACATCCAGTCTATTTTTGTTTATTTTTCCCCAACAGTCTGTCTTTTGCAAGTCTCCATATTAAATTAATATACCGTCCTTTAAGAAAATCTATATACAAATACAGGTCTGTATACTAAATGATTTCAGTTCAAGGATGAATACAAATTCTCCTTTTCAGAATGAATGTTCACTGACATAGTCTTTTAAGTTTCCAAATATCCTGCTGCCTTCAAGACAGCTTTTGATTTTCAAAATTCTGTTTTAAATGGTATATATGTATTACAGAAAGTGATAACACCTTTACCGTTCAATTCTTAAATGATTCTCTAATTGAACAATGGGTCAGAAGTAATTGTTTTAAGAAAAATAAATGCAGTCCATTACTTAATAATGGCCTTTGTCACAATGATAACTGGTAAATTTTATGTTACAGTTAAAAGTAAAAATTGTTTTTTAAAGGTTAGGCTACTCATGTCTACATAAATGATAAAAGTATTACAGAACCACTTAATATATACCTGAGGATGGTAATCTAACATAGATAATAATGGAAAATTTTTACCTGCAGAGTTTAGTTGCTACCTATTTTTCAAATCATTCTTTTTACATATTTGCATTTGACCTCCTGATTCTAAGATACATGTTTATTGTAAAAAAATAATAATTAAAAATACAGAAAAGCATAAGGAAGAAAATAAGTTACTCAAATAACTATAAAATACATAAAATACATTTAATAACATTTAATTTATGTGTACATTTATTATGTATTTATTATATATAATAAAATAATATATAAAAATATAAACAATAAATCTCAAAAAGATTACTTCTAGTCATTGAGGAGAGCAGGAAGGCATAGTAGTTAAGAGCTTGCTGCCTGGATTAGAACTCTGTTCTACCATTTACTAATACTGAAAGCAAGTTATTGAATCTCTCATTACTTTGGGGTCTTTATCTGTAAAATGGGGTTATTATTACCAGCCACATAAGGTTGTTGTGAAAATGAAGTGAATTGATGTATGTAAAGGGCTTAGAATAGTCCCCTGACACATAAGTGCTATATTATTGTTGTGTTATTGTTACTGAAATATTTTTTTCTGTAATGTCTGGGTGGTTCAGTTTTCAGGCAAGCCTGAAAAAATTTTTAGTACGAGTTAAAGTAACGGTAACAACAAAAGCTAGTACTTAGAAGGCATTATTGTACAGGGAATTCATCTAAGTGCTTCACGTGTATTTATTTCTTCTTAATACGTCATTCTCATTTTATAGATGAAACTAACAAAGAAAGCTATATGTTTACAATTGTAATTATAGAACATTGCATTGAATTATTTTGGCACTCAGGGTGGGGAGCAGAGTGGAGATTGATGGAGATGGACAGACAGTAATATTTAATATTAAGAATGAAGATAAATTTGTTTCAGCGTCATATAAAGTGTCTGTGGTGGAGCTAAGACTGCAACACATGATCTCTGAATCCTGTAGAAACAACACCAAATCCTTTAAAAGATACAATCACATTGATAATGGAGTCCGCTCTCATTTATGAATGTTAATGAGGAAGAACTATAGGAAGCATATTTAAATATCAGATAATCATTTTTTCCACCTTGGAATGCATTATACTTTTGATATAAAAGCAGGTTTGTCTTTGTGTTATAAGGGCATATATAAACATTGACTTATATTCCTTTAACACCTAGGCAGGTGGGAACTGGAAGAAGGAAACTAGGAATGCGTTCCATGGCAATATGGGATGTTGGCGTGATGGGTAAACCACATTGGAGCTGATAATTCTAATTTAGTTCTCAGCATTCTTTATTTTCTGTGGCTTGAAACAGGTTTCCAACTGGAACTATTTTTCCCCAAGGTTATTTTCAAAACTTGGGACAAGGCTATAAAACCAAATTGTGAATCTTTTGTTCAAAGATCAAAGTTGTTTTAAAAGGTTCCAACATGATGTGTTATCTTAATATTGCCCACTCTAAACACTTTGCTATGTATTTTTACTAAGCCTTCACATCTTTTCAGTATGAAGAGTACTATTCCTTTTTTTTCTTTGCAGATGAGGAAACTGAAGCTTACCTGAGTCGCTTGCTAAAATTTAAAGTTTAAAAGTTAAGTGATAGTTGGAACTAGTACAGAGTATTCTCAGTCTCCACAACACTGTCACAAAAATAAGTTATCCTTATACAACTTGGCATAAAAATGATTTTGTAAATATTAGAGACCACTGTTGTACAGGACATTTTTTAAAGCTAAAGATTCTAAAATCACAGAATTATAGAATCCAAAAGTTGAAGATATCTAAGAGATCATTTCAGCCTTTGTTCTTAAAACCTTTTTGACTGTAGTCCCAAGTAAGATATTTTGCATAGCATTAGGTACACACATGCCTATCTGTCTGTACATATAATTGAAATAGAAGTTTCACAAAACAGTAGATGCCATTACTATGTGGAATACATTCTTTTCCCTCCCATTGTTGGTTTTAAACCACTAAATGAATTGGGCTACCCACTAATGAGGTTCAGTTGGCAGTTTGAAAAACATTGATCTAGGGCAACTGGCTTGATTTATGAATTCATGAGATTTTATTTCATTTTTTATAGATCTGCTAGAATGTCCAAACCATTGCTATTACCTAAAGTCATTACTTTAGGACCGTAGTACAGTTACTTTGTTGATGTTTGAATTGCTCAAAACCATTTTTTAAAATTCTACTTGGACTAGTTGGAATAACTTGAACACCCTTACATATTCTGTTTTGGCAAATTTAGAAAAATTTTAACAGCCAAACGGCATTTAAAGTCAATGTAGCAAATATGGTGGGTGATCAATAGGCATGCTGTTAGTAAATTTCAGATACATTAAAAAAAAAATGCAGTGTAATTATTTCACATTAGAATCTAGTGTGGATTTTCTGATTAATCTCTTAATGACTGAGATCAGTTACTATGTATATTATTCTATAGATACAAAAAAGTATCTGGTAAAGATTTATAGTTAAAAAATGCTAGATACTAGGGTTTGATAACTGTTAGTAAGAAATTAAGAGTAAGGATATGAGCAAGCGTATGTCTCATCTGCTTTCAAAAAAAAGTGTATATGAGATGTGTTGTGATCCATTGAGAAGTGGCAATTTATAATAAGCATTATAAGAGACCATAAATTGTTTCCCTATTTATTCAGTGTGTTTTTTCTCTTAATTGAAACTATTTTATTTATGGCTGAATGGATTAATAAGACCTAATTCCTTAGTTTCTATTCTATTAAACATAAAGAACTACTAGCGAACAAATTTGAAGTCAAACTTTTATACTCCATTATCTTTGTTGAAATGATTTATTTTGAGTTCACTTATGTATTTGGCTGTCTTGACTTCTTTTCATGTCCTAACCTTACAGCCCAGGTTTGTTATACAGAAGTAACAAAAAAATCTAATTTTAATTTTCTACTATATGTTAATTTCATCACAAATCAGTAGTTAGAAAGTAACCTTTTATAAATCTATGCTGGTTTCTTTACTGTCCTGTTTTTCCATTATCTGTGAGACTGAATCTTTGCCTTTACTGGCTTTTTACCAGTTTGCTTCCTGTTTCCATTTAAAACAGACCAAAAGTCAGTACTTTTTATTTGCTCCATAGCCCTACTCCTTGTTTTGTTTTTTTTTTTTTTTTTGCTTCTCCTTATTTTTATTTTGCTTTCATCCTTAAACTGGCAGTCATCTTCTTTTCACTTTATCTTTTCACTCATTATAGCTAGAGATGATCGCTATGGAAAATCCTGCAGACTTGAAGAAACAATTGTATGTGGAATTTGAAGGAGAACAAGGAGTTGATGAGGGAGGTGTTTCCAAAGAATTTTTTCAGCTGGTTGTGGAGGAAATCTTCAATCCAGATATTGGTAAATATTTTAGTGATATGATCATGATGTCATATCTTTTTGAATTAAGGATTTGTTTACCAGTGTTTATAAATACTCTCAGTTATGAAGAACAGTTAATAGGGTTTGGTATGACTTTCCTAGAATCACAGATAATGACTGAATTTGTGGGTTTGGGGTACTGTTATGCATCACTTATTCAAGTTCTTATTCAGATTACTTAGCCTAATATTTTACTACAGGAAATTACTTCTTAGATAAATAAATTGAAAATGGTACATTAGAACAATTGAAAGATTTCTTTGCTCTTTTTACTCTAAACATTCATCAAACTCACAGCATTTCTGAAATAAGAGTTTCATACAACAGTGTCTAAAGAATATTGAGAATGTCTCACGAGTGTATCATGCTCAAAGTTTGGAAACCCTCATTGGTATCAAAGTAATTAGGTTTTTATTTGCTACAGGATTTCATGGGGCTTAATATTACAGTATTTTCCCAAACTTTTTGAACTCCAGAACCCTTTTTCCACCCCACATCTAATAACATTTGCCTCCCAGAAATGTTTTTTATTGAACAGTTTGGGAGAAACTGATCTATATATGTCAGTCTGAAAGTGAAGAATTTGAGTTTTACTGATAGACAAAGTAGATAAAGTAGAACCAGTAAAAGACTGCAGCTTCTTGGATTGTATTCATAACTGGGTAGTTCTGAACTGATTGAGTTTCTATAATATAACCACTAACTTGGTTACTAGGTTTGCTTATTTTTAAAACCGAATGCATGACAGTTACAGGAAAAGGAGTCCACTAAAGGTACAGTCAGAATTGTGAAGGATGTGACATAGAATAATGCATATATCATTTCCATTAAGCTTTGAGAATTGAGCTTGTTGATTCTCAGTATATACATTGAATTGACTTTTCTGTTATTCTTAGTTGGTCATATATATACATATATGTAAATGAAAGTAGACATTTTGAGTTCATGACACAAATATAGTTAAGACTATTTTAGCTAATGTTTATTAATCAGAAGCCTATGTAATTTGCATGGAATCTCAAGACACCTAAAACCATGCCTTTTTTGTGATTGAAAGTTAATTTGTGAGCTTCTTAGGTTTGGTAAACCTTAGCTCTGGGTTCCCTTGTGTCTCGACACGTTAAACATTAGCTGTAAGCATACTTACATTATACGCAGAAATACTTTTAAGAGAAAAACATACATTTAATAGTTCCACTTGATAGTAAGGTAATTGAAATGATAGTTAAAACTATCAAAAATGAGTATTTTAGAAGAGCCACTCTTTATGGTGCATTTCTTCCGGGGACTGGCAAAACTGTGCCCAAAATGGAATCATTTTGAGCCTTAAAATTATTATCTTTCATACACAGAGATGAGAGTAATGACCTCTGTAATTTATATTCTGATTAATTTGTAGTTTATTGCTCTTGAGACCAAGGACATACATTTGTGAGATTTCATCAAATTTATTAATTGTAATTATTTTCGACTGTTCTTGACTCTGTTAATAACATATTTACAACTGAATGAAGTTTTTACCACTTCAGTGAATCTTGTAACTTGGGCCTGTAAAAAAAGTTTAGAACTAAACTGAGATTCAGGTAAGAATTAGATAATTTTCAAACTTTTATTTCATGAACATTAACTTTCATTAAAAAAAAGTCCTAGCTTACTTTTATATTTATACTCTTATGATCCAAGGAACATTTTACAGTTCCTTTTGTATTTAACTTAAACTAAATGTGAAAATAAACATTTTTAAAGCTTTCAAAAATCAAATAAATTGATGTATTTGTGTCATATTGATTTCTAAAGTTTGTTCTATTGGACATTGCCCCTTTTTTCAGACCTAATTCTTAAAATATTTTCATTGAGTTGCACAGTAGCAATTGAAAAACATTTTAGCAAAGTAAGAAAAGTCATAATTTCGTAAAATACCATGTAACCTTTTCCTTAGATATTCTATTTGTCTGAAGGGAAGAAGATAATTTTGCCTTAGTAATGGTATTCAGATAGGTAAAATCAAACATTCCTAGTTTTTAAAATGAATGATACAAGAAAGATCTCTAAGCTTGGGTTTTGAATAGTGAAGACCATGTGAAATTGAAATAAGACTACAAGTGCAAACTACTTTTGTTTTATTTATTGGCTCACAATGTGTGTATTAAATAGCTTTGGGTTTTGGATGTAATCTGTCTTCATCAAATTTATTTAAGCTTATGTACTTCGCTTCATCTGACTTTGTCGTTCAAAAGGTGCTAGAAAAACCTCATGGGATCATTGTGCAGTTTTGAAAAAACAAAAACTTTTCTTTGAAATTCAAAATTGTTTTTTGATGTCAGCACATGTAGATTAAATATGTTTTAATAAGTTTTTATAAAGCTTTTTTTCCCCTTTGGTTTTGCATTTATTTTCATCCATTCAGCAGATAAAGTATCAATACAAATGAAGTTATCATTTGTATTAATAGAAGATTAGAGAACTTTAATGAACATTTTCCCTAACTTCGTAGAAAATGCAACCAAAATTGCTTATTGCTTTGTTGCCTTGGCTTCTTAATATGACATACTACCATTTTCCACAATTTATAACAATCATGTATATTTGAACTTTGGTCTCTCAAGTGTTAATGTAATAGAGAAAAAAAATTTTGTACACCTACTACATATAAATTTGTGTAGTTATATTTGTATTCATCAGTCTTTAATAAAATATAAAAGTAATATATTTTTTAAAATCATTTTTTATAGGTATGTTCACATATGATGAATCTACAAAATTGTTTTGGTTTAATCCATCCTCTTTTGAAACTGAGGGTCAGTTCACTCTGATTGGCATAGTCCTGGGTCTGGCTATTTACAATAACTGTATACTGGATGTACATTTTCCCATGGTTGTCTACAGGAAGCTAATGGGGAAAAAAGGAACTTTTCGTGACCTGGGAGATTCTCACCCTGTAAGTCTGTAATTTTTTATTTGATATTTAGATTTTATTTAAAAGCAGAACTAAAGTTTAATTTATGTAAAAAAATTAAAGTTTTCATTTCATTTGGAATCATTTTCATTTGTTAATATTTATACCTATTAAGATAAAGCTGTTTTAATCTGTTAAAGTACCATGAACACTTAAAAACTCAAAGGGGAAATTTAGTATAACTGTCAGCAAGCAGGTTTCGTAGGATTGATTCTGTAGAAAAGGGTTTTTAAACATGTCATTTTGGTTTTGGGGGCTTTTTTTTTTTGTTTTTTAATGAAACCACATGAGATTGCCAGGTGAAATCAGAGCTGCTCTGGATAAGGGGTTTGGTAGCTACAGTTAATGTGTCTGTTTCTGTCTCCAACCCCTCCCTCACTGTGAGACACCTGAGGTTCTCTCATAGAGCACAGAGTAAAATCCATTGCTAAATTGACGCTGTGGTTTTCTCAGCAGAGAATTGGACAGACCAGTAACTATCAGTCTTTCTGTATTGTAAACTATTTGGGGGACAGAGAGGATACTTTCTATGCTTTAGTTCTTATTGTCAATTTTTTTCTTCCCAAGAAGAGGGATACAAAATGTTGTATTTTATAGTTCTATGGTAACCTAATTTTATTTCTGGTTTTAGGTCCTATATCAGAGTTTAAAAGATTTATTGGAATATGAAGGGAATGTGGAAGATGACATGATGATCACTTTCCAGATATCTCAGACAGACCTCTTTGGTAATCCCATGATGTATGATTTAAAGGAAAATGGTGATAAAATTCCGATTACGAATGAAAACAGGAAGGTAATAAGTGTTTTAGTATCATCATTGTCTTTGTCTCTTTATTAACAGTTTTAAAGCGTATATGCTTGTAATTTTTAAAGAAGTATCTAAAATACTTCATACAAAAGAGAAATCAAGTAATCAAATTCTTAAAAATGAAATAATAAATGAAATAGCCAGTTTTCTAAATCTTGGATATGAGCTGGTAGGAGAGCCTGTAGTTGGGCACTAAAACCCTTTTTAAGAAAGAGGACAGGAGTAGTAGATAGTGAATGACACAGTGTGGCTGTAATAAAAAGCAAGAAACAGTGTATTTCTGATACTAGACTGTACAGGGGAGGGAAACGGAGACCTCATGATTAAGATCCTTCTCACCCAACAAATGGCCATTGCCTTTAATGTAAAGGCACACATATATATGTGACTTAAAAACACTAGTGAAAAGTGTTCTTTAAGTCAGATACATGTTTTCTGTATGCATCTGGAAATGGGAATAACCCATAATATGGCAGGAAAATTAAGATCAATATATAGTAAGCCTTTAAAAAAACACAGTTTATAATAATGTAATTTTTGATAAAATATTCTCTTAAGTTAGGATACAAAGTGCATTTTTACCTTTTATGATTTGGTACAGTAGCTTACGTATCAAGTAAAACACCCAAAGTTTTGATGAACTGGATACAGTAGGCAGCTTCTCAAATATTCTAGCATAGACAACATGAGGCTTCCTGGATTGCTCAAATCCGGTACAGTGCTGTTGTTAGCTTTTATAAATAGATGTATACATGGTTTAAATGTCTCTGTGTTTGCACACCTGGTTGAGAGACTCTCAAAATTGTATTGAGGCCCAGCTTTTATATTCAGTCTTGTTTAAGATAATATCAAAATTGAAACTTATATGTATATTTAGTTTATGTACATGGCCTTTTTATAGTTCTGTTGCAGAGATCTGTGAAATTGTTAAAGGTACCTTGTTTTATTGTACTTTATTGCACTTTGCAGATGTTGCATTTTTTTATAAATTGAAGGTTTATGGCAACCCTTCTTGAGCAAGTCTGTCAGCACCATTTTCCAATAGCATTTGCTTACTCTGTGTCTCTATGTCACACTTGGGTAATTCAAACTTCAAACTTTTTCATCATTATTATATTTGTTATGGTGATCTGTCCTCAGTGATTATGACTCACTGAAAGCTCAAATGATGGTTAGCATTTTTTAGCAATAAAATATTTTTAAAATTAAGGTATGTACATTTTTTTAAGACATACTGTATTACAAACTTAATAAACTACAGTATAATGTAATCATAACTTTTATATACACTGGGAAACCAAAAAATTCATTTGACTTGCTTTATTGCGATACTCACTTTATTGCAGTGGACTGAAACCAGATCCACGATATCTCTGAGGTATGTCTGTATTTTCCTTTGTATGTGTAAAGTTTGAATCTTTAAATATATTCTTGAATATTCTTCTTTCTTTGGGAAAATAAAAACAAAAAGGATATGCAGCCCTGTATCTTGTGTTTTATTTGTATAGCATATTATAAGAAGTTCTTGTGGTTAATGTTTTCTGCAGGAATTTGTCAATCTCTATTCTGACTACATTCTCAATAAATCAGTAGAAAAACAGTTCAAAGCCTTTCGGAGAGGTTTTCATATGGTGACCAATGAATCTCCCTTAAAGTATTTATTCAGACCAGAGGAAATTGAATTGCTTATATGTGGAAGCCGGGTAAGAAAGCAAAATGTCTGCAAAAATATCCTATGAATTTATTGTTTGTAATGGTGTGGTATATATGTTAAGACGTATTTTCTTGAATTTGCAGAATCTAGATTTCCAAGCGCTAGAAGAAACTACGGAATATGACGGTGGCTATACCAGGGACTCTGTTCTGATTAGGTGAGGTGCTTAATTCTTAAAAGGAAGATTTAATTCAATAAAGGGGTGTGTAGTTTATGCTTTAGACCTTCATCTCTAGGTATTACTTACCAAATAAGCAAACTCACAGATTCTCAATCTATTATATTAGAAGTGTATTTGTAATATAATCACCAGTTTTTACTGTTAATGATTTATTTCTTGAATGAAGTGTTTTATGTAAGTCACATGTTTTCTTACGCATTTGGGATATAAATTATCTAATATTCCTAGTGATTCTGATTAGCATGTGCTTACTGCTGGTTAGAAAATGATGAAAACAGAGCTACCATCTCTGAATATTTCCCCTTTCTTGAACTCTGTGTTTGTGAACTGTTATTCTCTACCCTATATGAAGCACCTTTTGTGTGAAATGTTATTTTATTTAATTTTTATGATCACATGCCAAGATACATATTAGTATTTGTTTTACCCCTGAAGAAACTGAGCCCCAGATTTTCACAGAAAAAGGCAGAGATCTTTCCCAGTCTTTGCCTCTTCCAAACAAATGCTGTTCCTACCATACTGTCTCCTTTTCTGTACTGCACTATTCAATCTTAAAAGACATAGGCTTCTTCCTCCCTTGTGGAGATTGGTAAAAGGGGACAAAGATGCTTTTTAGGTGCCCACTTGTGGGATAAGGTGAAAGGAATGCAAACATAACTCCTGGAGGTTGTCTCTGAAGGTTATTTCTCTAAGACTACAGTATGTGAACACCAGAATGAGTATCAACTGTAACTAGAGATGAGTAATACTTTATGTTGTTTTATATTACATTACATTATTTTCTTCTGTTACCTATTTTGTTCTTCATTCTGGTGTGTAGGAGGTTACTGGCATTTCCTCTTTTTAGTACACCCTAACTCATTTCTAGTAGCAATCTTGAACTACTCACTCTAAGCAACTATTATTATGCTACTTACCTGAAGTTTCAAAACTGACACATGAAAGGGTTGAAAACATGATAAAGAAAACCCCACTTGTGAGTCACAAGGAATTCACAGATTGGATTTTATAGCCTCTTAAGTTTCCCTGAGAATAGTTGGAAGTATTTTGTGTGTGCTTTATGGAGAAATTAATTTTTAAAGTTTTAATTTTATTTCTAGCTTATAATAACATAATTCTTACTTGATACATATCTTAAGATCATATGTTAATGTGTAATTTGAAAGGCAAGTGAAACAGTAGCTTCCAAATCATTCTCATTGTTAATGGTATTCTAAAAATCTTTTTAAACAAAATTCAGACTTCTTATTTTGTCAACATATATATGAAAATATTAATTCATTAAATAGAATCTACAACTAGTAGAAAGTTGAAGACTTGGAATAGTTATTATAATACCAGGGAAAAATTGGCAATATTGGTATCTTGTTTGGTATTTATTTCATTTAAAGTATTCAGAATTCATTGAAGTGAAATGAAGAAAAACTTTGAAACTGTATAATACATTTCAACTAAAAATTAGTAACATAACATTTGGTGTAATATAAAATACCAATAGAAATATTTTAGTTTTTAATATTAAAAATATAATTCTACTACAACTTTTACCACTAATAAAGTTAATGAAAATAAATTACTCAGAAAATAACTATATGTAAAACGTGAACATTTAAAAGTCTAGCATTAATAAAAATAAAGTGAGAAAATGTTGACTGTCAAGCAAGTTTGTGTTTATGTTTTCCAGTTGCCGATAAAGCTGTCCGGGATTTCATTTGACTACTAAGAGACTTAGAAGTATCTTTATTTTTTTATTGTATTTTTTTTTCTAAAGATTTATTTGAGAGAGAGAGAGCACAAGCAGGGGGAAGGGCAGAGTGAGAGGGAGAAGCACGCTCCCCGCTGAGCAGGGAGCCTGATGTACGACTCGATACCAGGACCCCAGGATCATGACCTGAGCCGAAGGCAGACACCTAACTGACTGAGCCACCCAGGCGCCCTAGAAGTATCTTTTTATTTTAAAGATTTTATTTATCTATTTGACAGAGACAGCGAGAGAGAGAACACGAGCAGGGGGAGTGGGAGAGGGAGAAGCAAGCTTCCCGCGGAGCAGGGAGCCCGATGTGGGGCTCGATCCCAGGACCCTGGGATCATGACCTGAGCCGAAGGCAGATGCTTAACCGACTGAGCCACCCAGGTGCCCCCCCCCAAAGTATCTTTTTAAATGGTCCTTGTTAGTGTTTTTGGGTGAGAGGCAGGGACTGCAGTTTCTTTTTAGTTGCTAGTGAATTTCTGTTTAAAGGCTTGGTCAAATTCAGATTTGATTATCCTCTTCTCACAGTTAATGTGATTCATTTCATTTAATTTTTCAATACTATATCAGCCTTTTATTTCTAGATAAGCCTAACTTAGCTGTGGCCTGTTAGTTTATAAATACGTTGCTCAGTTTATTTTACTAACATTTTGTTTTGGTCTCTATTCAGGAGGAATATTGACCTGTAATTTCCTTTTTTTATACACGTCAGGTTTTTGCTACCCTTATATAGTGAGTTAAAAAGAGTATTGTTCCTCATTTTCAAAAATACTCGAATAAGATTGGTAATTTTTTCTCTTAAATATTTGCTCAAATTCACCAATGAGACTGTCTGGACCTGGACATTTCTTTGTTGGAGGGTATTTTGATTTGGGTTTTTTTTTTTAATTTTATTTTGAAATAACTATAGATTTATTGGAATTTTCTTTTACAATACAGGTTGGAGGGGTGCCTGGGTGGCTCAGTCAGTCAAGCATCTACCTTCGGCTCGGGTCATGATCCTCAGGTTCCTAGGATCGAGCTCCACATTGGGCTCTCTGCTCAGCGGGGAACTTCCCCTCCCCCTCTGCCTGCCTGCCCCGCCCCTCAAATAAATAAAATCTTAAAAAAATATATAGTATGGGTTGGTCCAGTGTACCCTCCATCCACGTTCCCACAGTGGTAACATTTTTCATTACTGTAGCACAATATCAAATTCAGGAAACTGATACTGATTCAATCTATAGACCATATTCAGATTTTATCAGTTTTTCATGCACTTATTTCTGTGTATGTGTAGTTCTGTGTACTTTCATCACATTATATAGATTTGCATAACCAGTATTATAATCATTGCGTACAGCTTTTTCATCACCAGAAGGGTGCCTGTTGCTATCCCTTTGTAGGCATACTCATACTCCTCCAGCATGATTCTCTTGAGATCCATCAAAGTTGTTATATGTATCAATAGCTCATTCCTTTTTATTGCTGCATTTCATGACATAGATGTACCATATTTGGTTTAACCATTCAGCTGTTAAAGGACACTTGGAATGTTGTCAGTATTTGGCTATTAGAAATAAAGCTACTAAACATTTAAGCAAAGATTTTTGCAAGAACATATATTTTCATTTCTCTGGTATAAATGCTCAGTAGTGCAATCCTGGGTCATATGACAAGTGCATGTTTAGTTTCTTAGAAACTGCCAAACTGTTTTCCAGAGTTACTGTACCATTTTACATTTCCCTGGGGAATATATGAGTGGTCCAATTTCTCCATATCATTGCCAGCATTTGGTGGTGTCAAAATTGTTAGCTTTATCTGTTCTGCTAGGTATGTTGTAATATCTTATTGTGCTGTAATTTGAATTACCCTTGATGGCAGTGATGTGGAATATCTTTTCATGTACTTACTTGCCATCTCTATATTGTTTTTGGTGAAATGTCTTTTTTTGTTGTTGAATTTTGAATTCTTCATATCTTCTAGTCCTTTTTGTGGTGGGTGGTTTGCAAATACGTTCTTCTACTCTTGTGGCTGATCTTTTCATCTTAACAGAATCTTTTGCATGGCAGAAGTTTTTAATTTTGATGAGCTTTGATTTTTCCTTTTATGGATCATGTTTTTGGTAAAGTAAGATATAAAAGATAAATACACGTAAGGCCAGCCATAGGTCCTGAAGATTCATATTCTCTCTCACTCTCTCTCTCCCCCTCTTTGTCTCTCTTTTCCTAAAATTTTTATAGTTTTATATTGAAGTCTTGGTCCATTTTGAGTTGATTTTTATATAATAATGAGATTTAAGTCGATTCACTTTTTTGCTTATGGATGTCCATTTCCCACATAATTTATTGAAAAGGCTATCCTTCACTGAATTGCTTTTGCATCTTTGTCAAAAATCAGTTCATAATGTTTGTGTGAATCTTTTTCTGAATTCCCTGTGGTCTTCCCTTGATCTGTGTGCCTCTCCATCTCTGCCAATACTGCACTGTATTTATCAGTACAGGTAATTGGTAAGCATTAACATCAGATAGAGTGCTTACTCCTATTTTAAATGAAAGATTTCTTGCCTTTTCCATATTTTAGCTACTCTTTGCTTTAACATATAAATTTTGTATTCACTTTGTCTATGCCTACAAAAAACCTTGATGGAATTTTGATAGGAATTACACTAAGATCAAATTGGGGAGAATTGGCATTTTTATTATGTTGACTCTTCCAACCTATGAATACAGGATAGCTCCCCATTTATTTAGGTCTTTTTTTTTTTTATTCCTTTCATCAGCATTGTAATTCTCAGCATATAGATTCTATACGTGTTTTGTTTGATTTATACCTAAGTATGTGATTTCCTTTGCAGTGATTGTAAATGGTATTGTATTTTTATTTTTTTTAATGGCATTGTATTTTTATTTTGGTTTCCACATTTTGTTAGTATATAGAAATGTGATTGATTTTTTTTTTATATGTTGACCTGTGTCTTGTGACCTGGCTGAACTCACTTATTTTAGAAAGTTTTTTGTTTGTTTTTTTGTTGTTTTTTGTTTTGTTTTTTGAGACATCTTGGGGTTTTATGTATAGACAATCATGTATTCTGTAAATAGGGATAGTCATGCTTCTTTTTAAATTTGTATGCCTTTTTTTTTTCCTGCCATATTATGCTGGTTAGAACTTTTAACACTGCTGAATAAGAGTAGTAAAAGCAAAAGCCTTGACTTGTTTCTGTGTAGTGTTCTCTCTACAAATTCAA